CGGCGATTCTCTTCAGTTCGCTTTTGAAGTTGCCAGAGTTTATTTAAATAGTGATGGTGTTAGTTCTATTTCAGATCGAGACAATCTATCATTTGAGCTTTTTATTTTTGTTTCAATAATAAAATCATATCTTTTTAGTCTTTTGTGCCACAGTCTTTGTTATTAGTATTTGCTTACTACTGGTTTAATCATTAGAAAGTTCTAAATTGAAAGGTTAGTAAACAATAATCGAAACCAAATGTAAACTTTTGTATTTAGTTGATAATAATTATCAAAGAACTGGGGCCAACAGGATCATGGGCCCATTTGAGGGAAGGCTTTTTTCTATCCCAAAAACAAAAATCCGAATCCGATGAGAGCAACCCTAATTTCAATTCCTCCTTTTGTTTGTAACTCTCTTGTCGTGGAACACTTATGTAAGGATGATGATGTTTCTATTGATTTGGACTTGGATCTAATTTGCAATGATAAGGTTATAGAGAAGAAGAACAAAACATGTGAGTAAGGAGGTTTCAATTTGGCGAATTCATTGTATGATACTTGGAATTTCAATTTACTCTTGCAATTCATTGTATGATCTTTGTTATATCACTTAGAGATTCTCAAAATAAAAATAATACTAAGTACTCAAAATATTTCTTTAATGGACCCAAAATTAAAAATAAAATTACTAAGTAAAAATTAATGTATAGCAAAAGTCTTCACAATCTATCAAAGACAAAAAAAAGATTCGAGATTCACGTTGGTTATAGATTTCAATGGAGATGAAAAAAAACTACTTTTTTTTTGCTTGATAGCTTTTCAACGAACAGTTAATCCTTGAAAAAACTTTTTTTTTTCTTGAACAGTTAAGACTAAAACAACCTAGTAATCAAGATCATTTGTTACTTTGTTAACTCATACTAAAATTGATAGTATTATGTTATCACCTGATGTAATCAAAAGCACAAAAACCGCCTGTATTGAATAACTTATGTTTCTGCAAAGACATAGATGGCATTAGCATGTTCAGCTTCTCTTGATCTCAAATTCTCAAGCCTTATGTTTGAATTTGTTTATTTAATCTATTTCTAGAGAGTTTGTTTGTATGAATCTCATTAATCTTATAAAGAAGTATGTAATAAGGATCCTAGTTATGTCAATATATTAGGAGATGTTCTCTCCAGATAACAACAAGAGTAGATTGCTATAATGAACTACAGATAGTGTTCTTCTAAGTTTGTCACAATGAACGAACTCAACATTAGTCTAATCAAGCATGCACAGTGGATGCACGACATGTCTGAAGTTGATACATAATATGATGAAGCAACTAGTGCTAAAGCACGAAACAGAAACTCTCCTGTGAGAATTGAGTTGGCAAAAATGTAGAATGAAATGCAAAATTTATGTTTTATAACTTGCGCATCCCAATGAAACAATCATCTTAAAATTAGGATTTAACTAGGATTTGGACGCATAGGGAGTAGTATTAGGATTTTGTTATTAAGTACGTCTGCACATTGAAAAAGTTTAGAAGGTCACCTCGAAAGAGTTTACAGATGCAGAAGCGACGGAGGCAATTGCTACCCGTATTTCAAACAGTCTTTGGGTCATTTGCTCTGATTGGATCATATGTGACGTTTGTTGATGCCAAGCTGAAAGACACTATCTTTTACCCACTCTTGGTTGAGTGTCTTGGAACAAGGGTGGATGTACTTGCTAATGACACGAGAGGATGGAGCTTACTTTCGAGAATTTTTTGCTGGTTTTGGTGGAGGGTAGACCCCTCAAGATCAGTAGACTACAGGTTGGAGCTTGTGTGGGAAATGGTTGGGTTTAAAAGAAAGAGAAGTGAAGCTAGAAAATTAGATCAAGAAGAATGAAGACTAAGTGGGTTTTTTGTTATGTTCTGCTAGTATCTACCTGTAGAGAGATCCTATTTGTTTGTTCTGTTTGTTAATTGCGGCTACTTAGTATCTACAAGACGTGATTGATTGGTTTTTAACTACTGTTATCGCTTAGTCTGTTAATTTAGAGTTTGAAGTTTGATAAACGGCCCAATAAAAAATTTAAGAGTATTCGGGCCAAATCTACGATTAGTCTGTTATACTCCTTGGTTCCTCGAGATTATGAAAGACTTTAAGACTTAAAGGTAACGGCTTTGACTTTTCTATTAGGTTAAAGTGTTAGAGAACTTAGAGTGTTGAGGTTTTAAAGAGACTTGGGATCTATCCAATGCCCCCTGCGGGATTTTCTTCGAACTCGGTCTTCTTGAACATACATCATCTGCTGTCATGTATTCAAAATCAGAGCTTATCGCCGTATCTCCAGTTGGTTTTCCCGTGGATCATTTGGCATCTCTAGAAGGCTCGCAATGCAATGATTTTTGAAAATACCAAATATAATCCGCCCTCAATAGTGGCCAAAGCCCTTGAAGATCAAGATACTTGGCATAATATTAACTTCCATATGAGTTTGGAGGCGAACGTGGCACCTAACATGAGGGTGCCCCCTTTTTCGAATTCATGGCAAAAACCATCTTCTGATGTGCTTAAATGCAATATCGATGCTGACTGGTGTGTACATATTCATCAATTTTCTTTGTGATCCATTTGTTATTTGTTCTGCACAAGTGATATATTGTTTATATATACACGACATACTCACACCGGAAGATATTTTTTTCTTTCTCAAACATAGTATGAAATAACCCAACGAAGTCAAAATAATAGTTTAATGTAACCATTAAATATTTAAATAAAGATGTGATTCATCAATTTTCTTACTTTTAAGTGGCGTCCACACCCACAAGGCCACAAGGATTGAATCGGAGGACCCGCCCTCGTGTCTCAAAAAGAATATATCAAATTCGACGTAAGAATAACAGATACTATTCTTTGTTGGAATATTTTTAGTTAAAATATTGTATAAACAAAGCATTTAGCAAATCAATGGTTCAAAAAGATTTTTGAAACTATAAATGGAAATACTTTATTTAGAAACCCTAAGTAGTAACCAAAGATTTATTATTAACTTAAACTCCAATGTTACTTTCGGGCACTTAAACTCATGAAAACTTCCCCATGCTTCCTTGATTTCTTCAAGATTAATCTTTGTCTTTTGATATATACTTCATGTCGGTTCGGTACCGACTTTCTTGATTCAGTATTTTAAGTTCTTTGTTTTCGAATTTTATGTTCATGATATTAACTGCAATGAAATAACATCGTCTAGATTATGATTAATCGTTTTGACATAATCGTAACTCGTAAGACTATCAAAATTTTCAATATCTAAAGCAACATTGAAACTATATTCAATATTGTAAAAGATACCGAAAATTTGGAATATTATTTTTAAGTTTTATCGATTTTTCTAATCTTGTTTGACCGATTAATCTTTCCAATTGTTGCTGGAGGATATTTTATTTTATTTCTCGCTAGCATTCGCAATTACCGATGAGAAGTGCCTTTTTGTCTTGCCTATGGAATTGTCGGAAAACCCTAGCTTTCACTTTTTCCGATTTTAGAAAACTCTTATATATGAGCTTCACTCACATCAATTAAAATCCTATCACTTCTTAATATTGGCCAAAAAACAAAGAGATATGAAGAGCACAAATACGAGGTTAATCACATTCGTTTTAGGGTTTCTCTTCCTCGTGATGATGATGATAACGAATCTTCCTCATGCGCCTCAAGGTTCGCACATTAACAAAACTCGTAG